TCATTTCTGCAAAAGGATTCCCCACCAAGTATTGAGTGCAGAACTGAACATAATTATTTGAAGGTTGACTTTTTTTGTATTAAAAACACTTTTATTGGTCGGATGAATTATGCTAATTTTTTGAGATAGGGATTTTTGATTTTTCTTTACTTTTTTGCCAAAATCATCTACATTAAAATAATAAAAGGCTTGAACTACTTCAGTTGGTGTGCAATGAATCTAAAATATATGAAAGTTTAATGTTTATCAGCACATTACAGAAAATAATGAAATTTATCACAATATACTAATTTTTTTGAGAAGGACCTGTAGTATTGAAGGCCAAACTAAAGTCCACGAACAGCATCCGTGGACTTTCTCCACACTTTGACACAAGAGTAATGAAGCCATTTTTAAAATGTAAGGAATAGAAAGTAAAATGTAACCTGAAAAATAATTACTCCAGTAAAGTATAGATAACAAAACTGATACTTGACACCTCTACAGCTGATGGGGTGAAACATTTATTGTGTTCATATCAGCATACACATCACGCTTTTCTTCTCCAGCCTCCACTGTTGGCAGAGAAAGAAAAAAACTCAGTCTGTTCAGAAATCCTGAAGGTTCATGACCACAAGATTAGAAGACAGTAATATGGCTGCTTGGAAACATGAAATAATTAGAGTTACTCAGTTTTGTATTGAAAACAATTGCTTTCATTTTCAATGCTACCACTAGATGGCAGCAAAGTTCTGCACTTCTCTTTCTGTATGGAACAGATCTAAACATAAACATTACTTTTAAAAGCACGAGTGGATTCTTTACCCACCAAAGAGACATTTTTAAATTTATTGAGCAGAAAAGCCACACTTTGACCAAATTTGTAACATTTAGTTTGCTAGGTTAAAAACCAGCAGAATTCATGCACATAATCTCTTCTCATGAGATAGTCCAGCTGTGCAGTTTGACGTGTCTGTGTGTAGAGGTGTCAGCTTTTACAATTCTGTTTGAAGGGAATATATTTGACTTGAATTTGATGAACTAAATAATAATTCAGAAATGATTGATGATTAAGTGTTTATTCATCAGGTACAGAATTACTGGTCTATTTGTTTACATGTATAATCTCTCCATTTAACATTCTTCAAACAGTTTCAAATACAAAGAGATGTTAAGAGTTTCTTATGTATTCTTTGGCTTTTTTTCTAGACAGATGCAGCAAACTTATATTCAGGCACATTGGTTAATGTATGAGTAAGTATTGCACCAGTAAAATGCATCAGAAAACTTGTTTTAAGGACAAAACCTGCTACTGTTCAACAARCCTGAAGGTGAAGCCACTTCAGGGAAAAGCTCAGAGACCCAGATTACTTTTTTCCACGCTGCAACCCAACAGTYCATTTCCAGCTTCAACACACTCCGACACACACGGAGCTGCAGATCAGAGAGAATAACAGAAGTTTAGGACCAATGGTTTGACCTGCACACAGTAAAACAGTAGTCCCTCATTGTGCCTGTTACCATTCTGAYCATGAAGCCATGATGCAGCTTTCACAGCCAGAAGCTCCCARTCCTCTTTAGCATCCAGTTTGAAGCCATGAAGCCAGATCAGAGCCAGAATGGTGGCGTACACGTCCTTGTTGGCCTAAACCACAAAAACAAAATAATGGTAATTATGGTCAAATAAAACAAAGTACAGAAGTAAATGATTATATTAGCTGTGAAGAATACCATGATACAAGCTGAACTAAAGTTGGTGTACTTGCAGTGGATTGAGACAGTATCCACACCCTTTGGTATTTTATTTTGTTATATTGGATGGAGAAATTACATTTTTATTTTATTTCTTAGTAATGGATCCAAACAAATAAGATAAATCAGATTGATAAAATAAATGGGAAAAAAGCATTTCTCCCCTATAAAGAATATAAATACAATGGAAAACTGAGTAAGATTTTGTGGACATATCCCACAAAATCACTACAAATTAGAGCCACTTTGTGCAGCAGTTTTTCCCCCCAGGTCTGTCTCCATGAGCCTGGTCTATCCAGCTACTCATACTTTTGGCTGGTAACGAGCAAATAAAGCTTTTCTGAAGAGTTGATGTTTGTTTTGAAAGAGTTCATTACTCGAAGCTTCTCAACATCTTCTTTGGCGCCATCTTGTGGCTGAAAGTATTAAGAACAGTTTGAGATTGAGGACTTTATGTGACTTCTAACAATGACTAAAACAAGGGGAGTGAAGACATATGCATTAACCACTTTTGAGTTTTATATTTTTATTTGTCCCCCATGTTACTTTATTAGGTCATTTCTAGTAATGATGGTGGATYTGTTTGTAACTTTCTGTTTGTATTTCAAAAGCTGTTTATTAAATCCTTATTTGATTATTACACTGCCTGGCCAAAAAAACAAAACAAAAAAAAAAAAACAAGAACAAACAATCCTGCATTTAACTAAGCAAATAGGTACGAGCCTCCTGTTGGATAATTACTGCAGGGGTGATCATCTTTAACTGGTGCAATGAGTTGCTTCTCAACAACCATGTCGACTGGAAAGACGCATCCTGTGGTCGTGGAAAAGATGTCAGTGTTTTTCGTGAGGGTCAAATCATTGGCATCAAGCAGAGAAAACATCTAAGGAGATTGTAGAAAGTGGGTTAAGAACTGTCCAACATGGGGACGCATCGTCTTTTGAGGAAGAAATCCTGAATGATCGTGATTGGCGATCACTCAAATGTTTGGTGAAATCAAATTGAAGAAAAACATCAGTAGAACTCCAGTATATGTTTAATAGGGAAACTAAGATCATTTTCACAAAACAATGCAAAGGAAACTCCAGGGATTGGGACTGAACAGCTGTGTAGCAAGAAAGCCACTAATCAGTGAGAGTAAGTGGAAAAAAGGCTTCAGTTTGCTATGGGAGCATAAAGATTGGACTCTGGAGCAATGGAAGAAGGTCATGTGGTCTGATGAGTCCAGACTGACCCTGTTCCAGAGTGATGAGTGCATCAGGGTAAGAAGAGAGGCAGGTGAAGTGATGCAGCCATCATAGTGCCGACTGTACGAGCCTGTAGGGGCAGTATATGATGTGGGGTTCTYCAGATGGTCAGGMTTGGTTCAGCAACAGTCTGTGCTCGAAGAGTGAGGTCAGCTGACTACCTGAATATACTGAATGACCAGGTTATTTCAGCAATGGATTGTTTCTTCCCTGATGACACGGCCATATTCCAAGATGAAAACACCAGGATTCATCGGTCTCTTATTGTGAAAGAGTGGTTCAGGGAGCATGAGACATCATTTTCACGCATGGATTGGCTCCACAGAGTCCAGTGAGAATCTTTGGGATGTGCTGGAGGTCAGACTCTACCATCATCAATGCAAAAATTTGGTGAAAAATTCATGCAGCAGTGGATGCAAATAAATCCTGTGACATTTTTATTTCAGAAACCTGTTATTATAGCTGCAAAAATGATATAATAAAGTCAGCATGATGACTCACCGCTGCAGGTTTGGACGTCTCCACCTCCTCGCTGCTCTTTCCCAGCACAGCAGCCAGATGTGCATCAAGCAYCCAGCTGCCAGAGGCCTTCTGCAGGGAGACCAGCAGAAGCAGAGGGTCTCTCTGGACCTGAGGGGCAGCAGGTTGTTCCCCTGGATCACACAGGTTTGTAGAAAAAAGAAAGAAAATCATGTAGCAAAGACTAAACTACTTAGGGATTATAAATCCTGATTTGATGGGTTAAAATTTGTTTATCTGTAGTGAATAATGGAAATGATGGCAAAGGTTGATACCAAAACTGAACAATATCCTAACTCAACCAATTATCTTTGTGTAATTTTGTAATTTGTCTACATATTGAGAACTCCATGGTGTTTTCAGCAGGTCATAAACATTTTTACTCACATGGACTACAGAGTTGTTTAAAGCTTATAGTTAATATTAGAGAAGAGAGTTCATCTTCCTATWGTGAATTTCCACTTCACACCACCTTCTTTACACTGTCTTCCTGTTTCCCTCTTTACATTCTCCACAACACCCAAATGATTAAAAAACAAAAACATCTTGGTTTGTAATTTAATATAYTTTCAGATTTAAAACTGTTTTCAGCAGGTCATCAATATTTTTACTCACCTTCCTCCTCTTCAGTTTCTTCACAACTTGCCAGACAGTCAACTAACAAGACAGAGATTCAGTTATTATCTGCGTTAAAATGTTCAAAACATATCTACACAGGAATTAAAACAAACCTCTCATGCAATTAGGTGAAATTTAGGTCAGAAAATATTTGGGAACAGGAAAAAATAGTTAGAATACATGTGGCAAAATTAGAGTTTTAGAATTACGGTTCATAGAAAGCTGATTTTCAGCTAAAACTTATTAAAATAAGTGTCGGCAACCTTGCCATAAACAAAAGAAAAAAAAACAACGGATGTGTCCTGATCATCTTCAGACGGACATTTGCTCTGATCCACYTTCTAAAAGGTCTTACAGCCTTTTTTACAGGTTCTTACAGGTTTTTCTACTGGTTCATGAACAGTATATTAAATTTTCATGTATCACTTCCAAAGGATTTCTTTTGAACTTCTGTGATTTTACCAAAGTCATTCAGACTGAAACATCCAAAAACTTCATATTTATTCTAAGTTACAGTCAGCTTAAAAGAGGAAATGATTCTGCATGTGGACTGTTTTTATTTGCTGGAATAAATATGTAGAAATTTTCAACTGATACTTTACTTGTTTGTATTGAAAACAAAACTTCATCTTTAAACCTACCCATAACATTTTGTGGTTGGGAGCAAAATGAAATATCCATGGGATCTAGGCATTCAGTGTCATCTAAAAACCCAGAAAAGATAAGACAWCATGAAATCACAGGACAGTCACTGCTTTCTGACTCTGTTGAATAACAGGATTTTTAATAAGCATATTATAAAACTGCAACTTTGTATATTTAAAGAGTCACATGAAAAAGAATAATGCAAATACAGCAGGCAGACTAAATAGTTTGGATTTATGCAAACTGGCTCCCAGTTCATTTTAGAATTCATTTCAAAATTCTGGTTTTAACTTTTAGAGCCTTGCATGAACAAGCTCACTTCTATTTTTTGGATTTAATCCAGCTTAACGCACCATTTCAAGGTTTAAGGGCATCAGGTCAGAGMTTATTGGTGGTACCCCCCACCCATTTTAAATCCCGAGGGATCGGTCTTTCCAAACAGTTAAACCCTAACTCTGGAATGCACTGCCCCATCTATACGCAGTCTTGATATTGAGGCTTTTAAAAAACATSTGAAGACTTTCTTTTACAAACAGGCTTTAGTTAAGTTGTCTTTTTTTACTTGRACTTTTTATGAATGACTATGAATTGCTTTATATTAATCAAATGGTTTAGAACAGTTATTTTTTTCCCTTGACACTGTTAGGTTCCCTCTACATCAGATAATACAGCTGCCTGGCAGTTATTTCCTCTGTTTTCGCTCTAACAACCATATTTTACTGCCACATATTGTCCCCACCCCCACTTGTCAATCATTTGGGCATGGCCAATCAGGTTCTAYCTCTGCCAGTCATTCAGATGGAAACATCCAAAAACTTGAAATTCTTTCTAAGTTGCAGTCAGTTGAAGAGTGAATATTTTTACATCTGGATTTTTTTTACATTCTATTGATAAATTATCTGTATAAACTTTACACTGTTTATTCTGTTTGTATGGAAAACAAAACATGTTTTTTAAACTTACACAAACAATACATTTGTGAAGGACGACCTGAGGGCATAAAAAAAAGACAAGACATTAGGAAATCACAGTACAGCCACTGCTTTCTGTCACTGCTGAATAACAATTTATTTATTTTTAGGATGTTTAAGTCTAACTTTGTATATTGGAACAGTTGTCTAAAAAGCTCTAATGCAAATACAGCAGTCAGATTAAAAAGTCTGTTTTTTTAATAAAAATGTTTGTTTTTAGGTAGTTTTTCTCATGCAAACTAAAAGGCAATAAATGAGTTAATCAATACACACAGTGCCGCATACAACAAAACTGTTCCAAAGCAAATTAATATAGAATAAAATAAAATAAATACTAAATAAATAAAAGACAGTTTTTGCTTTGTTCTGTGGTTCTACATCTACTTTATTAAATTTGTTTTCATAAAACCTCGGATATGTTACTCACCAGCAGCACCCGGAAAGGCTGGCATCAAAAAGAAAGAGATAAAACAATATTTTTAGTTGGTTCACATAATTAAATTCAAGAATTAAAAAATATTAAAATAAAAAACAATACATAAAAACACATTCAAATAATAATGTTTTCCAGTAAATAAAAAACATTTAGTGTATATATTAAAACAACTCCTTGGGCTGCCACCTTATCGTGGTGGAGAGGTTTGAGACCCAGTGATCCTAGGAGCTATGTTGTGAGGGGCTTCATGCCCCCAGTAGGGTCATCCAAGGCAAACAGGTCCTAGGTGAGGGATCAGACAAAGTGCAGCCCAAAGACCCCTATGATGAACACAATAAATGGATTAAGTGTTCCCTCGCCCGAATGCGGATCACCGGGGCCCCACTCTGGAGCCAGGCCTAGAGGTGGGGCATGTTGGCGAGCGCCTGGTGGCCGGGCTTTCACCCATGGAGCCTGGTCGGGCACAGCCCGAAGAGGAGATGTGGGTCCCCCTTCCCATGGGCTCACCACTTGTGGGAGGGGCCGRAGGGGTCGGGTGCAATGTYTGTTAGGCAGTAGTCGAAGGCAGGGACCTTGGCGGTCCYATCCTTGGCTACAGAAGCTGGCTCTAGGGACGTGGAATGTCACCTCTCTGGTGYGGAAGGAGCCTGAGCTGGTGTGCGAGGTTGAGAGGTTCCGACTAGATATAGTTGGACTCACCTCGACGCACCYTTCTGGCTCTGGAACCAGTCTCCTCGAGAGGGGTTGGACACTCTTCCACTCTGGAGTTGCCCATGCTGAGAGGCGCCGAGCCAGGAATGGGCATACTTATTGCCCACCATCTCAGTGCCTGCACATTGGGGTTCACCCAGGTGAACAAGAGGGTAGCCTCCCTCCGCCTACAAGTGGGGGGACGAGACAARRCTCGAACCCACTGGTGGACACAGGCGGTGAGGGATGCTGTCAGGCTGAAGAAGGACTCCTATCGGGTCTTTTGGGCCTGTGGYACTCAGGAAGTAGCCAARAGGTATCAGCAGTCCAAGCYGATTGTGGCTCGGGTGGTCGCTGAGGCAAAAACACTGGTGTGGGAAGTGTTCGGAGAGGCCATGGAAAAAGACTTCCMTACGGCTTCGAGGTGATTCTGGTCCAATATCTGGCATTTCAGGGGGGGAAACGGTTCGCCACCAACACTATTTATGGTGGGGATGGTGTGCTGCTGACCTCAACTCAGGACGTTGTGGGTCGGTGGGCGGAATACTTCGAAGACCTCCTCAATCCTARCGAKACATCTTCCCATGAGGAAGCAGAGCCTGGGGACCCTGGGTCGGACTCTCCAATCTCTGGTGCCAAGGTCACCAAGGTGGTTAAAAAGCTCCTCGGTGGCAGGGAGCTGAGGGGTGGATGAGATTCGCCCGGAGTTCCTTAAGGCTCTGGATGTTGTGGGGTTGCATTGGTTGACGCGACTCTACAATATTGCGTGGACATCGGGGGCAGTTCCCCTGGATTGGCAGACTGGGGTGGTGGTCCCCCTATTTAAAAAGGGGGACCGCAGAGTGTGTTCCAACTACAGGGGGATCACACTTCTGAGCCTCCCTGGCYAGGTCTATTCAGGGGTCCTGGAGAGGAGGGTCTGTCGGAGAGTTGAATCTCGGATTCAGGAAGAACAGTGTGGTTTTCGTCCTGGTCGTGGAACAGCGGACCAGCTCTACACCCTCAGCAGGGTGCTGGAGGGTTCATGGGAGTTCGCCCAACCAGTCTACATGTGTTTTGTGGACTTGGAGAAGGCGTTCAACCATGTCCCTCYGGGAATCCTGTGGGGGGTACTCAGGGAGTATGGGGAACCAGGCCCATTGATARGGGCTGTTAGGTCCCTGTATGACCGGTGCCAGAGCTTGGTCTGCATTGCCGGTAGTAAGTCGGACTCGTTTCCGGTGAGACTTGGACTCCGCCAAGGTTGCCCTTTGTCACCGATTCTGTTCATAACTTTTATGGACAGAATTTCTAGGTGCAGCCAAGGTGTTGAGGGGATCCTTTTTGGTGACCTTAGGATCGCATCTCTGCTTTTTGCGGATTATGTGGCTCCTATTGGCTTCATCAGATCATGATCTCCAGCTCTTGCTGGAGCGGTTCGCAGCCGAGAATGAAGCGGCCYGGATGAGGATCAGTGCCTCCAAATCCGAGACCATGGTCTTGAGCCGGAAACTGGTAGCGTGCCATCTCCGGGTCGGGGAGGAGGTCTTGCCCCAAGTGGAGGAGTTTAAGTAT